AAACGATCTACAATCTGAGTTACAGGATCTCAGGATAAATCCTGAGGCGATTTCACTGACCTTCTCTGACCCAAAGCCTACAACTCTTGTTGCATACGTCTTGCTTTACCTTGGTCTTAACCATCCAGCAGAAAAGTATAACAACACTATATAAGAAGTAAAGCCATGCTGTTATGTTGACCTGTAGGGGACTCAGGTCAACAATTTCTGACATTGCCAGTCAAACGGACGACCCAATATTATTATGGACTCCTGGACTCTTTTAGAATATTTTGTTTAGTTTATACACCTATAATATTCAAATAACTGAACTTAAGGAAAAAAGGATGTACAGATGAATGTTCATTTTTTATCAGTGTATTCAAAGTGCTTAGGATAGATGTATAGTTACATTCTCTTAATGAATAGAGTGATTTGTTCCAATGGCGTTTGTAAATAGGATATCATGTCTGCATCTTATACAGCAATTAACGACTTGGAAGAATGTATGCAATGTGTTAATTATTGAAACTGTCCTATGAATTTGATTTTAAACTGTGTCATTGCTATTTGTTTATCAATAAAATTATGGGAAAAAAGATATTAAAATTTTTTTTAAAAAGTAGGAAAATGTCATGCATGCACTTATTTAGCCATCCCTCTGCCTTAATTTTAAGACACTGACATCTTTCTTCTGGTAATAAACATTCTGGAAAAAAAAATAAAGGAAGTTTATCTTCAAGATTCAGTGACCAGTAAAAACTTAATGTTTTGTGAGAGACGTGCTTTCTGTTCAAGCTCAAAATTGGTGCTCCTGAATTCCCAAGAAGAATGCTTGTCCTCAAAAGAGAGAAACTGTTAGGGCTCTGGAAATGGCAGGTAAGTCTGACATTTTTTTCCTTGCCTCTTCTGTAAAATATAAGAGCTTCTTGGCTCAATAGCAAGAGGAAAATACTATGGGAACTGCGACCCACTTCAAAAAGCCTTTATGCAAACATATGCTGGCTTAGAGAAAAGAAACCAGTGTGACAGGTAGCCAGGAACCTGGATTGTAGCCCTAGCATGGCAATGAACTCCTTGGGTGATCTACAACAAGGCCATTGCTCTTCATCTTTGTCCTGCACACCTGCCCTAAATTCCAATTTATGAAATGAAACTGAATGATGGAATTGTTTATTCTCTAATGACTTTGGAAATTCTGAAATTTTGTGGTTCAAAGTTCAGCTTTTAAAATAGCAGCCAGTACAGTATTTGAGAGAAAGCAGCCTGTAATTAAGCTCACTCTAGGATAACTTCATATGCAATAATGGTGAATATTACTCTTTTCAGTGATTTTCTATACCTTTTTCCTTCATAAACGTTTTGTTTCACTGATATTTCAAGATCCTATGATAGTATGGTCAATTTTCCTTTACGTAAATCAGAATCCTGCTGCCTTCTTAGAAAATGCAAATGGTTTGTGTGACTCATTAATGTCAGTACACTAATTAGACTACTGATTACGTGAAGAACAGGGGAGTAGGGAGAAGGAAGCTACTGGGGTTGGGGGGAATTCCCATAAAAGTGTTTATTAATAAGACATTTTTTGCCTTCACAGTTTTGTTAGGGACACTCCTGACTCTTCTGCAATGTCATTATTTTTTTCTTTTGCTGAGTGAATATGGAAAAGGAGGATTCTTAGCTCCTGATTATAGCCTATTTGGGAAGCCAGTATTAGGTGATATTGACTGGTCTCCCATTGGGTTTGTCTAGGAAGAAGTACCAAGCAATAAACCATTCCTGCTGTCCTCAAGTAGCGTTGTATATATGAGTTCTGTGGAAGACCTTTAGGGATAAAAGCATAAATCTTTTGATTTTCTATAATTCTTCTCATATTTTTGTTGCCTAAGTCCCTTTGTCATCATGAAGTGTCAGCTGAAGTTTCTAGTGCTGTGATGCACCAGAAATATATTGTCTAATTCTAACTTACCTCTTACCTAGCCTTGTAGTCTCATACAGTAGTCATCTCTGTTTATACTGGGTTATTAACTGTACAAAAATTATCTTAGTGGCTCATAGTCACACTGGCAAAGGAGAGTGGGAGAGTGATGTACGAAGGTAAGAGAAGTAGGGTTGGGAAAGGAATGGAGAAGAAAGATGTCTCTTTAAATACTTAAAACTCTTTTGATGTGTTGATCAACTATTTTATTTTCTGGACTTGACTCTGCATGACTTTTGGTTGTTTGCTAAAATCAAATCCCTATACAAAATAACAAGCTTTATTATGACTGAGGATATTCTAAAGAATGTGCCACAAGTTCTAACTCAATTACTAAAGAGGAATGCCCAAATAACTTTTTGAGCAATGGAAACATTGTCTAATAAAAGTGCAGGGATTTAGCCCCCCGATGTTCTAGTCTGAATGTACACCATTCCTTTCTATGTGCATGTCTTAATGTCACTGCAAAAAAGGAGCAGTCATATTACATTATAGTCACATTTTAAATTATTGCCAATTTCTTCTCCTTTTTTTCCTCAGTGGGGATTGAAAGCAGCTGGTTTCCAAGCTTTGTAGGGAGTGACTAAGAAACCATATGGCATTTTTATCCTGGCTTGTTCTGTATCTACAGATGTTTTTAGTTTTTTTTTTCACTGTAAACAGAATAAAACAGTATCATAGGAAACAGGCACTGTTCAAGGGAATTTCACAGATGATGAAATTTCAAGGTGGATTATCTAAATTGTGATAATCTCCTGGAGGTAAGGAGCATTTAGTTTTGAATGCTTAGATTCTAGAATAATATTTCACCCATAACATTCTATAAATGCTTATGGAGGAGACAGAAGGCATAGAGAAGGAGGAAGTGGAGGGACTGAGCCCTTGAAATATTTCAACCATTACTAAAAGAGAAGCAGAAGAGTTGATAGAAATTGAGATTGATGGGACTGAGAAACCAGAGTGCACAGAAGAAAGCATTGTAGAACAAACCTACACCCCAGCTGAATGTGTAAGCCAGGCCATAGACATCAATGAACCAATTGGCAATTTGAAAAAACTGCTGGAAACAAGACTACAGTGTTCTTTGGATGCTCATGAAATTTGCCTGCAAGATATCCAGCTGGATCCAGAAAGAAGTTTATTTGACCAAGGAGTAAAGACAGATGGAACTGTACAACTTAGTGTACAGGTAATTTCTTACCAAGGGATTGAGTCAAAGCTAAACATTCTGGAAATTGTGAAAACCGCGGAAACTGTTGAAGTCGTTATTGACCCGGATGCCCATCATGCTGAAGCAGAAGCGCATCTTGTGGAAGAAGCTCAAGTGATAACTCTCGATGGCACAAAGCACATTACAACCATCTCAGATGAGACCTCAGAGCAAGTGACAAGATGGGCGGCCGCCCTAGAAGGTTACAGGAAAGAACAAGAACGCCTCAGGATACCCTATGATCCCATACAGTGGTCCACAGACCAAGTGCTGCACTGGGTGGTTTGGGTAATGAAGAAGTTCAGCATGACTGACATAGACCTCACTACGCTCAACATTTCGGGAAGAGAATTATGTAACCTTAACCAAGAAGATTTTTTTCAATGGGTGCCTCGGGGATAAATTCTCTGGAGTCATCTGGAGCTTCTTCGAAAATATGTGTTGGCAAGCCAAGAGCAACAGATGAATGAGATAGTTACAATCGATCAGCCTGTGCAGATTATTCCAGCGTCAGTGCAGTCTGCCCCGCCAACTACCATTAAAGTTATAAATAGCAGTGCAAAGGCAGCTAAAGTACAGAGAGCTCCAAGGATTTCAGGAGAAGATAGAAGCTCACCTGGGAACAGAACAGGAAACAATGGCCAAATCCAACTATGGCAGTTTTTGTTAGAACTTCTTACTGACAAGGATGCTCGAGACTGTATTTCTTGGGTTGGTGATGAAGGCGAGTTTAAGCTAAATCAGCCTGAACTGGTTGCACAAAAATGGGGACAACGCAAAAATAAGCCTACAATGAACTATGAGAAGCTCAGTCGTGCATTAAGGTATTATTATGATGGGGACATGATTTGTAAAGTTCAAGGCAAGAGATTTGTATACAAGTTTGTCTGTGACTTGAAAACTCTTATTGGATACAGTGCTGCAGAACTGAACCACTTGGTCACAGAATGTGAGCAGAAGAAACTTGCAAAGATGCAGCTGCACGGAATTGCCCAGCCAGTCACAGCAGTCACCCTGGCCACTGCTTCTCTACAAACCGAAAAGGATAATTGAGGTCCAGGAGCTTCTGGGAATCTAAGGTCTTTCTTAAATATTAGAGCAGGCATTGCTCTTAACCTTTGTTACTGAATTTGAATCTTTATTTCTAGACTGTACAGTCTGATTCATGATTTTTTTATAAATATTTCATACTCTTGTGAATTTGGATCTTTTTACTTTGAGCATATATTTTAGCAAACGTGTATCTTAAAGGGTCACCACAATGTCTGCAGTATGAATGCAGCTTCATTGTGGGATAGTTTGTTAAACAGTCAGGAAAGCTAAACTGGTCAGTATTAATGTCTAGCCCTACCAAAAACAGCTAGCAGCATCTGAAGATGAAAAGTAAATGAAGTATCCCAGGAAACAGTCTGG